AGTAGCTGGAACTACAGGTATGCGCTACCATGCCTGGCTAATTTTTTGATTTATTGTAGAGATGAGGTCTCGCCAAGTTGCCCAGGCGGGTCTCGAACCCGCGGACTCAGACAATCCACTCATCTCAGCCTCCCAAGGTACGGGATTACAGGCTGAGCCACTGAGCCTGGCTCTCACTATATTTCAACTTCAAGAGATTACTACCAGAAGAAAGAGCATTTTTTGCAAGAAGAGTTGGATGTGTCAGGATTTAAGTACATTGTTATGTAGTCTAACTTGCCTTAGACAACTGTGAAATATTGTTTATTAGTATGTTGGTAGTTAAAGAAAAATAGCTTCTTTGCTGAATTTAGAAAGTTCTGTCTGTGCTTCTGAAAGTGGGGCAAGAGAAAAATAAAGAAAATAGAAGAAATGTAAGGGAAATAAGGCAATGTCTATGAAAGCCCTGTATACGATAGCCTTGTAAGCTGCTAAATAACATACAGCTATTAGTGACTGTTTCCCTGGGGTTGAACTTCAGTGAGAAAAAAGACTCACAAGATGCTATAGGAAAAAAAATGGGAGAAAAGAAATAACTTGGATAAGAAGTTGTTAAGGAAAAAGCAAAATGGGAAAGTTATTATGGGAAATTTTTACATTCTTGTTTTTCTTTTCTTTTTTTTTTGAATTGTAGTCTCACTCTGTCGCCCAGACTGGAGTGCAGTGGCACGCTCATGGCCACCACAGCCTTGACCTGCTGGGCTCTGGCGATCCTTCCGCCTCAGCCTTCCAAGTAGCTGGAACTACAGAGGCGCGTTGCCACGCCCGGCACCACGCCCGGCTAATTTTTTTATTTATTGTAGAGATGAGGTCTTGTCAAGTTGCCCAGGTGGGTCTCGAACCCGTGGGCTCAGGCAATCCACTCACCTCAGCCTCCCAAAGCATGGGATTACAGACTGAGTCACCGAGCCCAGCTACATTCTCGTTTTTCTTTGTTTTGTTTTTGAGGCAGGCTTTCACTCTGTCACTTAAGCTAGGATGCAGTGGCACCCTCCCAGCTCACCACAGCCTCAACCTCCTGGGCTTAGCAATCCTGCCACCTCAGCTTCCCAAGTAGCTGAGACGCCTGGCTAAAGTTTTTTACTTTTTTTTGTAGAGGCAAGGTCTTACTATGTTGCCCAGGCTGGGCTCGAACTCCTGGGCTCAAGCAATTCTCCCACTTCAGCCTCCCAAAGTGCTGAGATTACAGACATGAGTCACTGCACCCAATGCATTCTTGGTTGTTTTTTTTTTTTTAATCTGCAACTGCAATCGTACTTGTACTTCCTATTTGAGCAGTTTAGTTGAAAACATGTTATTTATTAGTCACAAGGAATGTTCTGTTGAAAATACTTTGGAGAAAGAATCTTCTATGGCATGCAGAGAGATGACTAGAAATCACTAGACATGGGACCCTGCCAGCTGTAAATGACAGTCTGTGTGTCATAGGGGGCTGTGTACTGCATGTCCACTTCATTAAGGTTGAATTCACATCTGTCATCTTGTTTTTGAGCCTTTCATTTTGTTCTCATTCATTTGCAAGCATTCCCATTCATTTTGCAAAGCAGAGTTAGCCCACTTTACAGATGAGGCATAGAAGGCTGGTTGATTTGCCCACAGCCACTTACGTCTGCAGTGGCTTAGCTCTCCCTTCTCCCCATGTCCATAGATTGGTTCTGCTGTGCTCCTGGAGACTCTGCTAGCCAAATTTCTCCAAAAGAGATACTTGCAAGTGGCTCAAGCCTGTCATCCCAGCACTTACAGAGGCAAAGGCTAGAGAATTGTCTGAACCTAGGGATTTGAGACCAACCTGGGCAACTTGGTGAGACCTCACCTCTAATTAATTAAAAGATTAGCTGGGTATGGTGACATGCGCCTGTGGTTCCAGTTATTTGGAAGGCTGAGGCAGAAGGATTGCCTGAGCCCAGCAGGTCAAGGGTGCCGTGGCTGTGAGCATGCCACTTCCCTCCAGCCAGGTGACAGAGTGAGACTCTGACCCCCCCCCCCAAAAAAAAAGAGATACTTGCTAAGCCACACTGGTCACTTACAAATAACACCCTTGGGCATGCTTTAGGCTTGGGTGTATTGGTACCAAATGACTTAGGGTGAGTTGTGCTTAAGGGATACCACCCGAGTTCCCAAAGAACCAAGAAATAAACAAAAAAGGCATCTCAGCAGCCCCAGCATGTGTCTGGAGGCTGTGCACTGTGCCCTTTAGATCTAGTGTGGAGTTTGGTCTTTGGAGTTTAGTTCTTCTACTTCATTGTTTATTAGGTTTCCAAAATCATAGCTGACTTAAAGAAAGGTTGGTACTTTGACAGAAATGACATGCAACTCTTGAGTGCAAGAGAGAGAAGATGGCCAAACCAGGAAGGGCAGACCCTCTGTCCCCCAGAGTTGGTGGCTATCTGCCCTTGAGTGGAGCAGCAGACAGCCCTCGGTGCCTCAGAAGGTTCTGAGGACAGCTGTCCTGCCACTGGCCCTTGATAGGCACAGTTAGCAGCAGCACATACATGGGGCCAGCTTTATGCCCTATCTTTCTGTTCCTGATTGATTTAGCTTCCACTCAGGTCCCTACTCTAATTGACTGAGATCTTGGCTTCCGCCTGGCTCTGTGACTTGGGTCTCACCTTTGGCTATCCAGAGTTTATTTCTCTCAGTGTTCTGCTTGGTGTTTGAACCTCAGGATTCTCTTCCCTTTGATTCTCAGCGCGCCTTGTTGCCTTGGTAGGAACACCCCGACCAGGCTTCCTTGTGGTGTGGAAACAAAGTGGTTCCAGCAAAGCAAGGTAATCGATAGTTGTGTTGATGACCCCATGTCACAAAAGGCTAATCACATTCTGGATTCTCTGAAGATGTTACCTTTTAGAAAAAAACATACGATTCCACTATGGTTAAAATTAAACCCATACCATTCTCACTGTCCTGTTCCTTGAAATTTCTAAAGAAGCAGAAATTATACTTATTATAAAGAATGATAACTATTGAATTAGAGTACATTATTTTTGAAGAACTTAAGCAATGTGTTTTAATAGTCTGAACCACCTTTCTATAGACAATGTTGCTTTAAGCAAAACCATTAAAAAAAAAAAACTTGTGTACAAATTCATGTTGTAAGACACTAGCAGCAAATACTTAAGCAGAGTTATTGAATAGTTATTAAATAGTAATTAAATAGTTATATGAGTAGGGTGGAACTAGGCTGTTGATGTGGAATGTTTATTTTGGAGAGAATTCTTGGCATTTTTTCCCCACATCAGCGTGATAAGAATTTGTAGGAGAGGAGAGAAGCATTAATATATTTGTTGAGGATTAATGACCTTGTATAGCATGTGTGGTAGTGAATATGTTCTGGCTAGTGCCATACATGTAGTAATTAAAAAGCTGCACACTAAACGCTTTATGGACTGGCAAATACATTCCCTTCTTTTGCTTGACACTTGCATTCAAGTGAGTAGTATGTTGTCTGTCTTGGTCTCCTAGCATTCTTAAGAGCAGAAAGAGGCCCGGCATGGTGGCTCATGCGTGTAATCTCAGCACTTTGAGAGACCAAGGAGAGAGGATTGCCTGAGCTCAGGAGTTTGAGACCAGTCTGGGTAACTTGGCAAGACCTCGTCTTGACAAAACATAAGAAAATTAGCCAGATGTGGTGATGTGCACCTGTAGTCCCAGCTACTTGGAAGGCTGAGGTGGAAGGATCTCCTGAGCCCAGCAGGTTGAGGCTGTGGTGGCCATGAGCATGCCACTGCACTCCAGCCTGAGTGATAGAGTGAGACTCCAACTCAAAGAAAAAAAAAAAGGTAGAAAGAAGTATGGGAGTCTCAAAGATTTGTTTTTTTCTGTAGATACTGCTGATCAGATGGACAGAATCAGAGTTGATGTTTTCAGGATCAATTAATTTTTTTCACAGTTCAGGAAAATGTCACATAGTATATACCGATAAAAAAAAAATTCCTCACTTTGGGAAACTTCATCATACAATTATTTATAGACACAACACAGTGTGCTGCTGGGTCATGTATAAAATGTGTTCAGTAGGATCCGTGCTATCTCTAGGGCTCATGTGTTAGAAGAAGTGAACTGGCGAGAAACAGAAATACAGATAAGGACAAGAAAAGAGACCTGTAACTGAGGTGAATTTTCAGAGATTTCAAGGAAGCAAGGCTGGATGATCTCATTGCTATTATCTTATTACCCAACAGCGGTTGAACCTCAGCAGGCTGTGTGAATGAGCATCTTGGAAGAGAGACTTCATGCTGTTAGAGAGACATGACCTGTCCTTCACACCAGAGGGTACCGAGGGCAGGCAGACGGAAAGTCTGCAATTCCCGTTTCTTTGTATGCGCAGCATGTTCATACCTACCTGTTTTCCCATCTAAGATGCACCCTGTTTTTCATAGTTTCTGAATCCTTCTACTTAATACACAATATTTGTTTATGAGCCTCTAAAGATTTTCTTCTGTGAAAAGTAAATGCAGTTGAATATGATATGCAGTTTTGCATTGAGTCCATTTGAACAGGAAAGAAAAAGATAGACTATTTCTGTTCTCACCATTTAACCGATCTTCTTACCTCCATTTATTTCTTCCCCCTGAACTGGGGTCTCACTCTGTCACCCAGGTTGGAGGGCGGTGGCATAGTTATAACTCACTGCATCCTTGACCTCCTGGACTCAAGTGATCCTTCTGCCTCAGCCTCCTGGGCACCTAGGACTACAGGCATGCACCACCACACCTGGCTAATTTTTTTGTAGAGACAAGGTCTTGCTATTTTGCCCAGGCTGGTCTCGAATTTCTGGGCTCAAGCAATCCTCCTGCCTTGGCCTCCTAAAGTGCTGGGATTACCTCTTAGTTGTGAAATCTCTTTAGTTATGTACTGATTTATTGACTTATTCCACATTAATTGCATACCATATCCCGTGACCCAGGGTACAAAAATGAATGACTCTGATGACGATAATGTGGTTTTAAGATTCTGTCAAGTTCCAAAGTTGACCTGGGTCTCACTTATGTTAGCAGGATAGACAGATGGTGGGGCAGACAGAGTTCTGGAGATCACAAAGGCTCCATGGATAACGTCAAAGTTGCTTTCCAAGGTGTCTGCCATGGCATGAGGTCTCTAATGAGTTTTCCTGCTCTGGGCATCACTGGGGTACCTTCAAAGAACAAAGTCACTACACCCCGCTTCTGAATTTACCAAAGCCATGGATCGATAAGTGTGTGGGAGACCTCGACCTGCTGGGCTCAGGTGACCCTTCTGCCTCAGTCTTCCAAGTAGCTGGAACTACAGACACGTGTCACCACACTAGGCTAATTTTTCAATTTATTGCTGAGACAAGAGCTCACCAAATTGCCTGGGCTGGTCTGGAACCCCTGGGCTCAGGCAATCCTCTTTCTTCTGCCGCCGAAAGTGCTGGGATGACAGCCGTGAGCCACTGCACCTGGCTCTTTGATACTCCGAAGTTCTACTCTGGTTGTCCTTGCCTCATGAATGCTCTTTTTGCTTTGATACAGACTGGCATGTATGTTTGTTTGCCTTAAAATGGGGTTGGACTGCTTTAATTTTGGGGGTAGTGTGCCAGAAACCAAGAATTTCAAGTTTTGTGTCTTCCACACATTTACTTGTCACCTCATTCTCAGCAAAGAGCCTTGCCAACTATTTTCTAGAACTTTGATGCCCTTTGGTCTGTGGGTCCCACTGCCCAGTGCTGTTAATTATAAGCTTACTGTTGCCAGATTTGTCACCCCTGAGACATGACTTTCCCTTCTGCAGTTTCAATGACTTGTGGTACAGTACAGTAAGATATTTTGAGAGATAGAGAGACCACAGTTCCATCTTTTTTATTATGGCATATTGTTATAATTGTTCTATTTTATCATTAGTTTTTATTGTTTTTTTTTTGAGTTGGAGTCTCACTCTATCACCCAGACTGGAGTGCAATGGCTACTCCCGGCCACCACAGCCTCAACCTGCTGGGCTCCGGCGATCCTTCCGCCTCAGCCTTCCAAGGAGCTGGAACTACAGGCGCGCGCTACCATGTCAGGCTAATTTTTGAGGTCTCGTCAACAGAGTTACCGTATCTAAACTCAGCTCTGACCCGTCAGTGGTCTTCTGCAGCCAGGATAAAGTCAGAGTTCTCTGATATGTGTGCAAGGTTGCAGTTGGGCTCCGGGCTTCCTCCCTGGCCTCCCATGGCAGCCTCCCCCTAGGGAGTGTCTAGCCACATGGTTTCTCACCTCCACCTTTTCCATTGTCATGTCTCCCAGCCCTAGCTAGGCACCCTCCGCCTCAGCCTCAGCCTTAGGACATGCGAGACAGGCCTATTCCTTGGAAGCCTTTCCCAGCCTCCCTGTTTCTGGGTTCGGTGTCTCCACTGGATGTGAATCTCAGTCGTGACACTCATTCCAGTGCCCTATGGGGCCAGTGCGTGTGTGTCCCTCGGCCCCACTAGACTTGGTTTTCTTAGAAACAGACATATCTTCTTCATCTTCGCCGCTCTGGGGCCTAGCACAGTGCCGGGCATAGTAGGTTTTCACCATATGTGTTTAAAAGAAAAGATAGTCAGCCAGGCTTGGTGGCTCAGCCTGTAATCCCAGCATTTTTGGAAACTGAGGCGAGTGGATTGCCTAAGCCTGTGGGTTCGAGACCTGCCCAGGCAACTTGGTGAGACCTTGTCTCTACAATAAAACAAAAATTAGCCAGGTGTGGTAGTGTATCCCTGTAGTTCCAGCTACTTGGCTGAAGCAGGAGGATCACTGGAACACAGCAGGTCAATGCTGGGGTGGCCGTGAGAGTGCCACTGCACTCCAGCCTGGGCGACAGAGTGAGACTCCAATTCAAAAAAAAAAAGACAATCATGACTGTCAATCAGCCTGATCTCTGCCTAGGAGGTACCTTAGGAGGGAGCAGGAAGGGGACTTCAGTGGTTTTTGCTCTGGTGTGTTCAGTTTAAGGGAATCCATCGAGCCATCCTCTTGTACTTTGTGCACTCTTCTATATTTATATTTCATATTTATGTATCTTCTGTAAATATTTTCTTGAGTCTGGGTCTCACTCTGTTGCCCAGGCTGGTCTGGAACTTCTGGGCTCAAGCGATCCTCCCACCTCAGCTTCCCATTACAGGCATGGGCCACTGCACCCAACCATGTTTATGCTGTATTTCATTGAAATTTATAAAAAATGTCAACTTGACTTCTAAACTCTCCAGTACAGAAATTTTTCATTTTTTTCTTCCAAGCTTTTAGGGTGTTTACAGGAAAGATTCAGGCTGATGCTTTTCCTTACGTTAGGGAGGGATGAAATGAAGTGCAGATGGGCTTGCCTGACTTGACTTCTAACAGGGGGCAAGTGACCCGGGCTACTGTCACCCTTGCTCCAGGGGCCACATGGAATCACCTGCACTCCCTGGGCCTGCCTGCGGTGACCATGAATAATTCATAAACACGCTTATCTGGAAATTTGTGGTCAGCATTAGCATTTTAATGAAATAAAAAACCATACATGGTCATGATCCTAAGTCTCTGTTTTGTTTCACCTTTTTTTTGTCTCCCCCACACAGCTGACCATCCCTGTCTCTCCTGAGCAGTGGGCACTGCTGCCACCCCTGCTTATGTGCTGACTGTCGCTATGGGCAGACGGTACCCGGAGGCACACTGTCGTCCAGGCAGCTCACGTATGTATGGGATTGGCCTCTCTCTCTCTCATTCCTTTTAATTTTCCATGTGGAATGCTGCAGGACACTGAACTGGTGAAAGTTTATAAGATTTAAATGAGAGTATTTAGAAATACAGAATGGATTGCTCTAGGGTGTTTAATATTGCATGGCAAGGAATGCTATCTAAATTAGGACTTTTATCCCTAAGTGTCCCAGTAAGACCAGACATGTATATCAGCAAGCTTCCTTTTCTGTTTCCATGCATCTATTCATCTATAGGCTTTTTTTTTTTTTTTTTTTTTTGAGTCAAGGTCTCACTCTGCTGCCCAGGTTTGAATGCAGTGACTTGCTCTTGGCACACTGTAACCTTGACCTCCTGGGCTCAGGCAGTCCTTCAGGCTCAGTCTCCTGTGTAGCTGGGACTACAAGTGCATGCCACCACACTTGACTAATTTTTGGATTTTTTTGTAGAGCTGGGATCTCGCTATGTTGTCCAGGTTGTTTTCGAACACCTGGCCTCGAGGGATCCTCCTGCTTCGGCCTCCCAAAGTCCTGGAGTTACCAACATGAGCCACCGTGCCCGACCAACTTTTCTTTTTTTTAAGCTTTCCTTTTCATCACAATATATAATATTTGAAACAACCATAGTGCAAAATTAAAAACATTTTCCAGTAATTGTTTGGATTGCCTTGAATCAAAAAATGCAGGAACCCAGAAGAGAGGTCCCCAGGGCATGTCTTTGTTTAGTATGTATTAGGGAGGGAGTTCCTGGCTCTTATTTCTTAACATTCTCCAAAGGAGAAAACTCTTGCATTTCCCTCTGGGAAGACTTTCGATGCCTCACAGCACAGAAGTTTTTCCAGCAGTCTTTTGGGAACTGCTACAATTGCAGGCATTTCCAATTTGCTTTTACCCTTGATTAACTTAGGAAGGAAATAACACTACCTGTTTAATGCTCTGTATTTGTGTAAAGGTTTATCTCAGACTTGCTTCCTGCTTCCTGCACCCTTTGGTCTTTCAGTTCTGGGCCAGCTGTGAAGATGTTTATTTATTTTTGCTACTTCCCTTTGAGCCCTCTGGAATTTTGGCTTCAAATCTGGGTTGTGTCTGGGGGAATTTCCCCCAGGGCTTCTGTTCCCACATCCTTTCTGCAGTTATGTTTATTGAGATTCACCTTTAAGTCCCATTCCCTTTAAAACTCCATCTTTTTATTTATAGGGAAGTTAGAACCTCTCTCAAGCCCTCACCCAGGCAATTTGCTTATAAAATAAAACAGAGAGTTAAAAGCTGTGACATCTATTTCATGATAATGGGAAGGGATGACTGACAGCAGAACAGAACAGGGATTTGGACCAATCATCAGTGTCAAAGCTGTCGGTGTTGGGGGTCACTGTAGAACATGGATCAGCAAACTATGGTGAGCCATATTCAGTCAATGATGTGCACGCGTGTGCACACACACACACACACACACACACATCCATCCATCCATCCATTCACCCACCTCCCTCCCTCTCTTCCTTTCTATTTATCTCTATTTTGAGACAGAGTCTCACTCTGTTGCCCAGACTGGAGTGCCATGGTGCGATCATAGCTTACTATAGTCTCAAACTCCTGGGCTTAAGCGAACCAGCTCAACCTCCCAGCTCAGCCTCCCGCTCAGCCTCCCAAAGCACTAGAACTACAGCCATGAGCCATCACTCCTGGCCTAAATGGTTGCATTTTAAATGGTTATATAAATAGCTGTACTGTCTCTCTTTTTTCTCTTGATGGTCAGATCCTAAATATCTGTGATCCTGTTATGAAAGAACTTGCCCACCCCAGTGCTAGAAGACAGTTGCAAGACATGGACTGCAGTTGATCTATGTGAAATTGTTAGGATTTGACTTTTTTTGACCTCCAAAAATGTTAATTTCATGTGGTTCAAAGTAATTGTTTCAAGGAAATTCTTCATTCAAAATGGTTGAAATTCTGGCATTCGGGAGAAATAAATTTATCTGGAAAATTCATATCTATGGACTTTCACCATGTTGGGGCTTGACACAGCACCCACCAGCAGATGCCTCTCCAGAGCTTACCAGAGGGCCCTGATGGTGCGTCCCATGGGCGCAAGGGAACTCTTCTTTTTCACTTGATGTCTTATCAAGAACTCTCTAGGAGAAAACGTCTCTTCTCTTACCCCTTCTGGGTGCCAGGCGGGTGCCAGCCATCTTAGAATAGAGAGAGCTGGGATTGCAACCCTGAGCCACTGCTGAGTGATTCACTTGTACCCTTTTCTAGTGAGGAGGAGAGGGGATGGCTACCTTTTACAGGGAGCACTTTCTTCATAACGTGTTGCTTGAGAT